TCATGAGAATTGCACAAGAAAGACACACTCCCGTGATTCAATTATCTCCCATTAGGTCCTTCCCACAACATGTGGGAATTATGAAAGCTACAATTCAAGATAAGATTTGGGTGGGGACACAGCCAAACCATATCACTATTTAAAAACTCACTTTGCTAATATTTCATCCTATAAATATTTAACATACAGTAGCCTCCTTTGACACTCACAAATTTAATCACATCTCCTATTCCTCAGAAATTATTAGGTAGAAACGACTTTGTGTTAGTTTGAAAAAAAAAGCCCACAACCCTCAGAAAGAACTGGATTGCAGAAAGGTCAAATAGGGAAGTCTAAGATTTCCAAATTCTTCCTTAATCAGGTATTTACAGCACAATGTAAATGTTTCTGTTGAAAATACTCTTTCAGAATATCTAACACATACTCATATATATGCACAAACTTAGTAAATATAAAGCAGATAAAAAGATTTATGTATTATCTCCCATTTTGAATTATCCATATATTTTTATCCATCCTTCCTCTATCTAGAATGACTCCATGGGAGCTCATTAGTTTCCCCCGCCCCTCTAAAAAAACTGACTCAAAGTTACCTGTTTCAAAATAATGTTTTGATATCAATTTCCTGATGTAGCTACAACAAAGAATACCTAAAATTTAAAAGGTTGCTTCCTATCCCACTTTCAGATTAAAGTTAAAAAGACATACTTTTCCCTATTTCTGTCAATAAATACAGCTAAAAAGTTTGGATATTTTATTAAAACAAATATAAGAGGATTCTAGAATGCAGAGGGAAGGCAGACCGACTAGGGACCTAGGAATCCAAGGAATGACAAAGCAGTGAGTTCTGTGAGTTTTCTTTTAGCCTCATATATCCCAAACTAGGGAGTGGAACAGCCAGCAACCAGGAAACACCAATAGGCACAAAAGCCCCAATAAAAGCCAATCCTCTGTAGCAAAAGGGCCATGAAAGGCACAATTTAGCAAGACAGAAAGCTTTTAGACAATAAACACCCCACACCAACCAAATACCACGAAAAAAAAAAATGGCCCTAACTTTGAAACTTTTAATCAATAGTAACCAATGACTCAAACAAAATACCTTCTTCTAAACAGTCACAGTGTAGGCCTATTGAATAATGTCCCCATAGGACACTGAAAAGATACACTGCTCACCTTTTTCCTTATTTCCAAGTTTCACCTTTATTTTTAAACCACCTCTGTCACAAAAGGCCAAGTACCGAGCCTAGATTTCCACTCTTGCACAGCAACAATGAAGTGCCCATAGATGACTTTGATGTGGTATCAGAGAAAACCAAGTGGTTGTGAAGACAGTTTTAGGACTTCTACCCCCATCCAAAAGGAAAAAAACTCTCTCACCCTCCATTCCTGTGTCAGAGGAAGCTGAGTGGGAAGCCAGAACTTTTATAACTATCCAGAGGTAACAAGGTCGCCCCTAATCTCATGGTAAGGCACCCGTGGAACAGTAAAAAGGTGCGTCTCCCCCTCCCAGCGAGGGACGCATCTGCTAAGGCCTGTGGGAGCCCTGAAATCTCACCTTATCCCAGGAGTAAGGCGGTATCCTTCCTATCCAGGGTATCAAAGGGGGTTGAGTGGAGAACTTGTCATTTTACTCGCACCTCACATTAACAAAATAGTTAATCTTTTCCCAAACTATACAGTATCAGATGAGGCCTGCTACAATAAAAGATTTAAATAAGATCCAAGGTGTCACACAAAATACCCACAATATGCAGGATATAATTAAAAAACACTCATGATACTAAGAATCAGGAAAATCTCAACTTGGGCAAGAAAATACTATCAACGGTAACACTGAGATGATACTTTCCTAACAAGGATTTTAAAGCAACCATAATAAAAATGCTTCAGCAGGGAATTATGAACATGCTTGAAACAAACAGAATAGAAAGTTTCAGCACAGAATGGAAGACATGAAGGAGAGCCAAATGGAAATTTTAGAACTGAAAAATACGATAACCAAATAAAAAACAAAGAATTGGCACATGAAATGAATGGAAGGAACTGAGGATAGAAATCCTTTCCTCAGAAGTGGATGGTACGGTGACATATAAACTGAACAGTATGCCTACTTTAACTTCGATTTGGCTATGAGACCTCCTGGTACATTTTTCTATAATTTATTTAGCCAAGGTGTTTAACACTCCATAAGTTACTCTTTTATTCCCATGCTATAAAAAGGAGAGAGAAGCCTATTGGTCCTAAACTGAAGTCATCGGAAAAAAGTTTTCTTTGAAAGTATAGATTCCTATAAAACAAACTAGCTTTGAAGACTCAAGTCATCACTCCTAGATTATGACTATTAATAGTAAATGCAGTGAGACAACAATGATAATGCCAGATGGCATTTATATTAGTCATTAACGTAAAAACAACCCAAAGTGATATATGTTAGGTTCTATATAATCTCTCTGATATGTTACTGTTCCCATTTATAGATGGAAAAACTGAATTCTCAAAGATGTATGTCTCACTAAAGGGTCCAGAATAAGTCATTCAATGGAGACAAAAAAACACAGTTACCTCATTATTCAGTACTATGCCTTTTAATAAGCACCGTAAGTCCAAGGATGAGGTCACTAAGTGTGGCTATACACAATGTAGTTAGTCCTTGGGGAGCAGGGTGCATGATATTAGTTCATCTACTGATTCATCCAACAGTATTCATTGAACATGCACTATATGCCAGGTACTACTGGCAAGGAAAAGTTCTAAATCTGAAGAAACTTACACTGTAATGGAGAAAAGGCAGAAAATAAACAAATCAAAATAAAACAACAGGTAGGAATAAGTGGTATGGGAAAGAAAAAAATAAAAAGGGCTAGGGAATGCTGAGCAAGTACATAGGGCCTTATTTTATACAGCATGATTAAGAAAAGCCTCCATAAGAGTAGCATTTGAGCAAATATCAGAATGAAGCTAGAGTTCAGCGAGAGCTGTTAAAAGTATAATTTTCAAAAAGTTAATCTGACTCACGTAAATACAAATTGAAGATATACCAAAGATTTATTTTGTTCATTTACTAATGAATTAATCATTTAAGACTGAACGAATGAGACATTAGGACTGGTTCAAGAAGCATTTGAAGAACAGGATTTATATAGGAAATTTAACAATGGAGTGTTAGACTAAAAGCACCGAGTTAGAGACAAAACTGGTTAATATCCTGTAAGACCGAATGAATAAGATGCTAAGACTGGTTCAAACTGCGTTTGAAGAACAGGATTTAGATAGGAAATTTAACAACATGAAGTGTTAGACTAAAAGCACTAGGTTAGAGACGAAACTTGTTAATATCCTACAGGGCAATTAATTATATTCTTTGAAGTTATCTTTTCTAACAAACAGAATTATTTGCATCTCTTCAGGGGAAAAAAATTCTATAAATTAACATGTAACTTCACTACATCTGAGACTTTTATTCAAGAGTAAACAGTGAGTCAAATAAAGTACATTCTCCTAAGTACGCCTGAGGTGGGCACATTAAACAATGTCATCACAGGTGCTGAAAAGACACACTGCCTGCATTTTTCCTTATTTCCAAGTTTTGTATTTTTAAAAAACTGACCTACAGGAGGAACAACATTCCAGGCAGGGATACGTGAGTGAATCATGGGTCATACCACTCCAACAGGCAAAGAATGTCCTTCCCCACATATACTCACACATTCACCTATACCTTATTGTAAAGCTTGGTGTAAATAAATACCCGAGGGTAAACTGGAGAAGCTTGAAAATGTATATTGGAAAGAAAACAGGAATTGAGTCTGGGATCTGATTTGATTTACATTTTTAAAACACTACTCTTACCTGCTGAATTGAAAACTCATGATGGAAAAGAACAAGAGTGGAAGTTACAAGACCACTTAGGAGACTATTACAGTGATTCAGGCAAATAAACAAATAAATATATGATTTGTCAAATGTAAAAGGTGCTAGGAAGAAAAATAAAGAAGACTATGATAAGGTGGATGAAGAGGATGTCAGCATTGTCTGGAAAGGCTTATCTGATAAAGTAATACTTGAACAGAGACTTGAAGGTTATAAAGAAAACCATGCAAGTATCTGAGGGAATCTGAGTACTCTGGATATTAGGAAAAAGAAAAATGACTGAGGAAAAAGAGGCAAGGAAAAGACAGGAAGAAGGGACATAAGGGAACACAGAGCCTTGAAAACCAGTTTAAGGACTTGGCTTTTAGTGTGGGTAAGATAAGAAGCCACTGAAGGTTTCAGAACAGAAGAATGACATGACCAGCTTTAAGTTTCAATCAGATCACAGTGTCTGCAATGGGGGGAATGGTCTGCACGTGGGCAGTGACAAAAGCAAAAGACTAGTAAGAATATACTTTAGTAATCCAAGGGAGAAATAATGATAATATACAATATGTTGACAGTGGTGACCATGATGATAAACGGTTGAAACCTGGATATTCTGAAGGTACAGGCAACAAATCCTGCTAAAGAAACAGACATTGAGTAAGTACAAAAAGGAACGTGCAAGTTTTAGTCTTAGCAATTAACAGCAAGGAGTTGTCATTTACTGTGTTAGGTTAGACTGTAGAATAAATAAATAAGGAAATTCAGGAAGGAGAAAAGGAGACAATTTATTTTAAAAAGTTAAATATCTCAGTTCTGGATTACAGGATTCTAAATGTAATTCAAATGTAATTATTATAACAAAAATTGGAATAAACAGTTCCCAAAATGTATCCATTAGAAACAGAGTATTTCTTACCAAATTGTTTGAACCTCAAACTACTAATCCTCGGGGCTACTCACAAACTCATACTTTTCAAAATGGGCGTCTTCCCATTAATTTAACCCATGTTGGTCAGTTTTATATATTTAAGCAAGTACTGATTCTTCATTCATAAGATACTCATTATGCACTTCTGGAAATTATAGCACATGCTTCATCAAAAGGCTTATATTTTAAATTTTAAGTTCAATCTCCTTACCTGAAGTTCTTTGTATCTATCTTGAAAAGAAATGGCCTCTTGCTCTTTTTCTTTTAGAAAGCCTTTTTCTAAGACATTATGCTTTTCCATCAATGATTCCACATCCTAAAACAAAAATCCAAATACAAGCTTTGTAATATTTAATGGCTTAAAATATATTTAGTTTTTTCAATGAACGTATCAGAAAACATTTGTCAGAGAAAGAATCCATGGGAAGTATGGCTTAAAATCTAACAATATTATAAATTGTATGCTTCACTCTAATTTCTAGGACAATATCAAACATGGACATAACATTTACTCATTCCAACAAAAGAATATGAGCACATCAACTAATTTCATCAACATAATCTATTTCTAGATACACTTTCTATAAATATGGTAAGCTCTTTTGACAGATATTTTCACAGGGAAAAATGCATAAGTAAAGAATTTACTAAAATGGCTGTATACCTAAGTACTCTTGTCAAATATCCCGTGATGCCTAACTTCCCATAGGGAAAAGTTGATATCACAAAATTTCACCCCTTCATAAGAAATACAATATTATCTGCTTTCAAAGTAAATAAAAATAAACCAAAAAAAGAAAGCAATAGTTAGAAAAAACCTAGTAAAAGATGTTCATATCTTTAAAAGTACGTATGTAAAATACATTTCTCATCAAAGGCTTTTCCAAGTGATTAGCTCATGACTGTTTTGAACCTACAGCCAAGGGAGAAAAGTATCTTCTTCCTCTGATGAGCTTTTAATCAGAGTTTGAGATTATATCAAATTTCTAATATTTGCAAATCAAATTTTTTTAGGCAAATTTAAATATACCTTTTTAATTCTCTGTTTTTCTTCTTCAGATACTTTGAGTTTAATTTCCAGACTTGAAATTTTTTGCTGAAGCTGTATGTTAGATACATTGGCTCCAGGATCCTCAGAATCATTCACAAGGGCAATTGTTCCATTACTTTTTTCATCAGTTAAACCCAATGGAAAAAGTGAGATATCCAGATGAGTGTGTGTTGATTGCTGAATCTAAACCACATTACAAAAAAAAAAAAAATACACAAGAGAGGAAAGTTTACACTATACCAATAATGAAAACATCCAAAGGGCACTAGAAACCACATTTGGAAATTAAGTTGTTGAAAAGGTTCTGAAATTATTTCACCCTTTAAGTAAATCAAGAGAAGACCTCAAACTGTTACAACAACCCGATCTTTGCTGTAAGAAACAAAATTTCCTCTTAATTTTGAAATCTAAAGTATTCCTTAATTTGCTATCAATGCACTAAAAGACTTAAAACCTTTTCCTACACTTGAAAATGTATGAATAAGGATAGACATATCTGGTTGTTAACAGTTCTTAAAATTTACACACAGACCTAGAATTTGTTTATATTTTAAACTGTAAATCGAACTCTGAAATTTATCAATGACCTCTATTGATCATCACTGTCTCGCAAAATTAACAGGTGACTCAAAATTGTGTACAACACTTTAGAAATTGGGACTACCTCCAGCAGCTAGCATAAGTGCTTGGTTTAAAAAATATTTGAATGAATAAACCTTATAACTGCTATATTTTTGGGTTTTACTCTAAAATTGAAATAGTTGCTTGTATACCTGAAAATATGTGGTAAGATTTGCTGAAAAGAGAAATACTTATTCTTCTTTGTATTATTTCCCTTTTCAAGTTCAAGATTTGAAATGCAAAGCCAGGTAAAGTTTAATAAAAGAGATACTCAAATCATACTTTGGTAACTAAGGCTACTTAAATACTTTGCAATTGTGCCACGAAACACAAACATATTATCTAGTTTTTTTGAATTCTACATATTAGCCTCAAAATTAGAATCTCTATTGCAGAAATACTTCTTTTAGGCAAATTGGCTAAAAAAGAGATTTAAAAAACATCAATTAAATTAGCAGGCAATTTTTTAAGTATGCACATCTCCTTTAAAAATATGCTTGTCTTTACCTGTGCTTTAGGAATAGTCTGACTCACAATGCTGTTTTCTGGTGTATTCTCTGGTGATGAAATAATGGCATCAGAAGAGAGGCAGCCAATGGCAGAAGAGTGGTCATGGTCCAGTACAATCTCAGGAGAAGATGGTGAAAGATGGACTCCAGATACTAAAAAAAAAAAAAAAAACAACAATAACAAAAAGGATAGGATTATTAAAGAGAAAACGGAAGCTGAAATAGAGTAAAAGAAAAAAGTAAGGAAAGTAAAAGCAATGAGAGTGAAAAATCAGGATTCTATGACTATTTCTCAGGGCCTAATCTCTAAGAGGTAAAACTAGTGTTTTTAATTTAACATGACATTTCCATGTATGATCCAGGCAAACAAAATAGTTTTATAAAGTCTTAGTGTAATAGTGCCATAAGAAGCACATTTCTAGCATAGAGAAAATACTCATATATATATATGAGTATATCATATATATGAGAAAATATATATATTATATATATAATATATTCATTCATTTCAGTCAGAAAAACCCATTTAATTTTTTAAAAAGCACTAGAGTGCCTACCAGTGCCAGTCATAGGCATTAGGGACTGAAGAGACACCAGTGAGCAATACAGATGCACCCATGTACTCAATGGCTTTACGACTCAGTAGGCAAGTCAACCAATTAATATTTATAACAATAAAATGAGTAAGGGAAAAAATCAATTACTTTGAAACAACTAATCCAACAATATCTACATTAAGGCCTTCTTTTGTGACAAATAAAAGAATTTTCATGCTAAAATAAAGTCAATTTAAGTTTGCTGAATTGTCCATACAGAAAAATAATAATTTTTCTTTTTCAATTAGCTTAAAAAAAATTAGATTGTGATTAGAGCTCATATATAAAAGTTCTGAAAGGAAACCCAAATATCAAGTATGACATAGGACAAAAATACGGATATGAGCAAGATAAACAGGTCGTACATATATTACTTTTTAAATATTCTTTCTAAAAATTCAAATAAGTTTGTACTAGGTGTGTTAAAATTTAAGGAAAGTGAGTCATTTTTTGGTACAGCCCATTCATACATTTTGCTTTCTAAACTATAAAGACCTTTATTCCACATTGGCATCAGTAGCAACGTCAGTGAAGTTCTACCATAAACTCTGGAAGGCAGTTCACAATGGAAATTGCATGTTTCCCTGAAGAAAGACATTTATAAGGCTGTTAGATATAAACAAAATAACAAATACATCAATTTGTGGTTGATATTCTAAGAATTCAATTATCTTAAATACATTTTTATTATGTAGCAATATTGCATTTTTGAGACATTATGTGTCATACTATATAATTAATATAGTCTAGCTTCACCCATAGGCCTTTTTTTTTTTTTTTTTTTTTTTTTTTTGAGACAGAGTCTTGTTCTGTTGCCCAGGCTGGAGTGCAGTGGTGCAATCTCAGCTCACTGCAACCTCGGCCTCCTGGGTTCACAACATTCTCCTGCCTCAGCCTCCGGAGTAGCTGGTACTACAGGCACCCGCCACCACGCCCGGCTAACTTTTTGTATTTTTAGTAGAGGCAGGGTTTCACCATGTTAGACAGGATGGTTTCGATCTCCTGACCCCGTAATCCGCATGCCCCAGCCTCCCAAAGTGCTGGGATTACAGGCATGAGCCACCACGCCTGGCCAGGCATTTCAATTCCTTTTTTATTTTTTTTTTAAAGATGGAATCTCACCCCGTCTCCCAGGCTGGAGTACAATAGTGCAATCTCGGCTCACTGCAACCTCCACCTCCTGGGTTCAAGCAATTCTCCTGCCTCAGCCTCCCAAGTAGCTGGGATTACAGGCGCTCACCACCAAGCCTAGCTAACTTTTTGTATTTTTAGTAGAGACAGAGTTCACCGTGTTGGCCAGGTTAGTCTCGATCTCCTGACCTCCTGACCTCCTGATCCACCCACCTCAGCCTCCCAAAGAGCTAGGATTACAGGCATGAGCCACCGTGCCCGGCCAGGCATTTCAATTCTTTAACTCAAATACAGAAAAGCGAAATTTTAATTCATGTTTGTACTTGGTATCCCTACTTCAGAAATTATATTTTTCTAATCTTCACTATTCTATACAAGTATAATAGTGAAAGAGATTTCTTCAAAACATCAAAATATTCCCACTTCTAATTCTGCATCATAATTTACAACAAAAATGTTACTAATGAATTTTTAAAGGCATGCAAGTAACTAGTATAGTGGACTGAGAAGGAATACAGCCTTGTGGTTAAGAACATAGACTCTAGAACCACACTACCATACCAGGTATAGAACAATGGACAAGTTACTTAACTTCTCTGTGCTTCAGTGTCCTCATCTATAAAATGGGCAGAGATTTTGCTGATAAGGTTTAAATTGTGGAAAACATGTAAAGCATTTAGTACAGTGTTGATATTTTATTATTTTAAAGAATATTATTAAAATTTATTAAGCAAGTATGTTTATTTAAAGGTATATACGTGGCTGTGATCCTGTATTCAAGAAACTATTAACAGTTTCATTCTGATCTAACACCTATTTCAATATTTATGTATGTTATTCATATTTATAGGCATAAGATAAGATGTCATGCTGTCCCAAGTTAAATTCTTCTCCTGTAACATTAAATGTCCAAGCGTATCATATTAGGGAGAAAGGAGGGAAAGTGAGTAGAATACAGGAAGAATGGGAGCAAGTAAGAAGAAAAGAGGAAAAGAAAGAGATGAAAGGGAGAGGTTGAAGGAGGACAGTAGAGAGAGGCAATGAAGGTACCCAGAGTCTCATACTAACTAGTACTGTACTATGACCCTTTCTCTTCATAACCAAGTTCCTGAACAGTTCATAACCCCTGTCGCCATTTTCTTCTTCCTCGACCCAATCTTCATCACTCCACTGGATTTAAGATACTAGTTGTCATATTAGATACTATTAAATTAAATAAACACATCTGATCTTATCTTTCTTCAGTTATTCAGAGAACATGATAATCACCCTCCATTTTCCTCCTTTGGTCCCTGTTACACAAGATCTCCTATATTTCTACCTAACACTTTGAATACCATTTTCTTGATTCCTTTTCAGACTCTTTCTCCAATAAACCTCAAGTTTCATTATTTCATATATCTGCTGATCTTCTCACTGCACAGAATATTCTGGATTACCACTTTCAAAATCCATTATTTAAATTACCACCTCTAAGCTAATGATACTCAATACATCTCCAGTATAAATCACTCTGCAGAAATCTAGATCTATACTTACCTTACTACCAGATTGTTTCATTCAGGTGTTCAACAGATATACCAAACCTGCCTATCATCTTATATAGACCTGCTTTGCTTCATGTTTTTCATCTAGTTAATAATACCTCAAAAAACCATTTGCTCAAGCCAGAAATGATACCACTAAGTGCTAACTTCACTCCAGTCACACAGTATTACTAACATTCCCTGACTATGCCATGTTTCTTCAGTACCTCTGTGACCTCACAATATTATTCTCTAGGTAAAAGTCATAGGCATTAGAGTCAGAAATGGATTGAAATTCAAACATTAACAATTTATGCATTATGCAGCCTTAGGCAAATTACAATAACTCTTCTAAGCCAAAGTTTCCTCTTGTGAAAATGGGGAAATAAAGCTCAAAATGATGTTGTACAGCTTAAATGAGATAATGTATACCAACCACCTAGCTCAGTGACAGGTACATGGTAAGCATTCAGTAAATGGAAATTGTCACTGAAGTTTTAAGTTGGCAACATTCAAAACAAGCGTTCCTAGAAATCTTTTCACATCTATTCCATTATTCACTCAAGCACAAAACAATTCTAATTTTCCATTGTCTGTTAAGATACTACAAGATTTTTAAGAAATAGTGACAAACCATTGCATAACAATAAATGGGAAACATTTAAAGCAGTGATTGTAAACAAAACTTCATAGCCCTGAACACTTCAATCAAAAAACAATAAATTAAATTCCCAGCTCAAACAAAAAAGAAACAAAAAAGAAAATTTAAAACGTAGAATAAGGAAAATAATAAAGATACTGCAATCACTGAAGTAGATTAATAAGAAAAAAGGGTACATATAACTATTCAAAATCCTGGATTTCAAATGAAAATTAAACAAAATAGTAGCTAACAATAAAAGGGAAATAACTCAAATATACAAAATTAAATGATAAGGAGAATATAGCTATTATAACAGAAGAAACTAGAAAGTAATAACGTTGGGTGGCGCAAAGATGGCGGAATAGGAAAAGCTCCAGTCTCCAGCTCCCAGCATTAGCAACCCAGTAGACAGGTGATTTCTGCACTTCTGACTGACGTACAGGGTTCATCTCACTGAGGCTTCTCAGACAGTGGGTGCTGGACAGTAGGTGCAGCCCAACGAGCGAGAGCTGAAGCAGGGCGAGGCATCACCTCACCCGGGAAGTGCAAGGGGGAAGGGAATTCTCTTTCCTAGCCAAGGGAAACCATGATAACACCTGGAAAATCGGGTTACTCCCATCCTAATACTGCACTTTACCAAGGGTCTTAGCAAACGGCACACCATGAGATTATATCCCGTGCCTCGCTGGGAGGATCCCATGCCCACAGAGCCTCCCTCATTGCTAGCACAGCAGTCTGAGATCTAACTGCAAGGCAGCCGCAGGGCTGGGGGAGGGGCGCCCGCCACTGCTGAGGCTTAAGTAGGTAAACAAAGTGGCCAAGAAACTCCAACTGGGTGGAGCCCACCACAGCTCAAGGAAGCCGTCCTGCCTCTGTAGACTCCACCTCTGTGGACAGGGCATAGCCAAACAAAAGGAAGCAGAAATCTCTGCAGATGAAAATGTCCCTGTCTGTCAGCTTTGAAGAGAGTAGTGTGGTTCTCCCAGCATGGAGTTTGAGATCTGAGAACGAACAGACTGCCTGCTCAAATGGGTCCCTGATCCCTGGGTAAGCTAACTGGGAGACATCCCACACTAGGCGCAGATTGACACCTCACAACTCACACGGCCGGGTACACCCCTGAGACGAAGCTTCCAGAGGAATGATCAGACAGCAATATTTGCTGTTCAGCAATACTCACTCTTCCGCAGCCTCTGCTGCTGATACCCAGGCAAACAGGGTCTGGAGTGGAACTCAAGGAAACTCCCACAGACCTGC